ACATGAAAAATGCATTTGGCTATCCAATGCGAAGATTATATCTCAAACAAAGTAGAACAGGTAGGAATATATGATGGGTGCTGGGTAATACAGAGGAAGGTGTATGCATGGAGCCTTTTGCTAGGGAGACAAGACCGTGTCTGTTTCTTTCTATCCTTAATCGTTATAATCTCTAATTTTACCCACAGGAATTAATTTCACTTCATATGCTGAAATCAAGTCTGAAAAATAAAACACTGATATCCCACTTGTAGATCTGACTGTCTTTGGAGTGTTTGACAAGAGAAAATGACTTGGGCTTTAATAATCTCAACGAGTTTATCCTGGTTGAAGAATTCTGACTGTGCATCTCCAAGAACTTTAATAGATAGATGGTATCAGGCTAAAGGTTACTTATCTGGATTTTCCAAATCCTCTGCTCTATTCTTTGAGGGCGAAATAAATGTATTTTCTTTACCTTTCAAATATACACTGAATTCCTTCAAAAATAGCCTAGTAGCCAATATGAACAGAATACTCTTTTTCCCAAATGCCTGCTGCCTAATAGAGCCAATTTGGTAAAATCAGATCAATGGAAAAATAGCAGGAATCAACACTCCCTTCCATTTATTTTAGAACAATAAAAATTGATGACATATGTTTCCATGGCAGATCCCATTAAATAGGAAAAATAAATTTGAAAATTTACTTTAGAAGAATTACATAAAACAAATGTGAGATGATATATGGAGTCCAACTTTTATTCCTATAAAACATATAAGAATACAAAATTGATAAACAACAGATTATTTCTCAAACATATTAATGTTTATAAATAAATAAGAAAGCTCATGGTATTAGGACCTATACCATTACATGTCCTCTTTTTTTCTTTTTTAAAAATCCCATTTGTAAAGTAAAAGAACAGCAGTTAGTGTGTATTCAGTTAAAAGGTAGAGGTAAATCTTTTTCTTGTCAGCCAGAGTATACATCATTCATGCACACACACACACACACACACA